AACTTGTAAGGGAAATTACAGCTGTTTCTATACAAATGCTAGAAGTGTCCGAGGTAAAATCGGGGAGTTGGAGTGCTTGGTGTCGGAGGGAAAAATAGACATTGTGGGTATTTCTGAAACTTGGTGGGATGAGGAAAATCAGTGGGACACAGTGATTCCCGGTTATATATTATATCGGAAGGATAGGGGGGGAAGGGTTGGAGGTGGGGTAGCTCTGTATGTCAGAGAGGGTATAAAGTCTAGAAAGATTGAGAGGCTAAGTGAATTGGATTCGCTTCTGGAAGTTCTATGGGTTGAAATAGGGGGGCCAAAAGGAAACTTAACACTGGGAGTTTGTTATCGCCCACCAGATCAAAAGATAGAGGAGGATTATAAAATGATGAATGCCTTAAAGATAGCAACTAGACAAAAACACTGTGTAATAATAGGTGATTTTAACTACCCACACATTGATTGGGTCAATATGTGTTCTAGTCGGGAAAAAGAGATTGAGTTTCTAGACACTCTAAATGACTGTGCTATGGAGCAGATGGTCACGGAACCTACCAGGGGAGAGGCGATCCTTGATTTGGTCCTAAGTAACACTCAAGACCTGGTGAGAGATGTAAAAGTGATTGCACCGCTTGGAAACAGTGATCATAATGTTGTTGAGTTCATCATTTGTACAAATAGAGAATTGGCCAAAAAGACTCACACAACCATTTTTAACTTTAAAAGGGGTAATTTCTCTGATATGAGGGGACACGTGGGGAGGAAACTGAAAGGAAAAGTAGAAAGGGTCAAAACAATTGGGGAAGCTTGGGATCTATTTAAAACTACGATCCTAGAAGCTCAAAAAATATATATTCCGCAGGTTAGGAAAGGCACAAACAGGTATAGGAAAAAGCCTGCATGGTTAACAAACAGAGTAATGGAGGCTGTAAAAAGTAAAAAGAATTCCTTTAAGCAGTGGAAAGCTAGTCACAGTGAGGCTGATAAAACGGAACACAGGCTATGGCAAATAAAATGCAAGTCTGAGGTCAGGCAGGCAAAAAGGGAATATGAGGAGCATATAGCAAAAAACGTAAAAACCAACAATAAAACTTTCTTCAAATACATTAGAAACAGGAAACCAGCCAGGGAGGCAGTGGGGCCCTTGGACGACCAAGGGGTAAAAGGAGTATTGAAGGATGATAGGGAAATGGCTGAGAAGCTAAATGCATTTTTTGCCTCCGTCTTCACTGTGGAAGATGAGAAGTGCTTGCCCACTCCAGAACCACTGATTTCAGGAGGGGTGTTGGAAGACCTGAGTCAGATTGAGGTGATGAGAGAGGAGGTCCTAAAACTGATAGACAACTTAAAAACTGAAAAATCACCAGGCCCAGATGGCATACATCCGAGAGTTCTGAAAGAACTCAAATGTGAACTTGTAGATCTCCTGACAAAGATATGTAATCTTTCCTTAAAATCTGCCTCCATTCCTGAGGATTGGAAGGTAGCTAATGTCACTCCCATCTTTAAAAAGGGTTCCAGAGGAGATCCGGGAAATTACAGGCCAGTCAGTCTGACGTCGATACCGGGTAAATTGGTGGAAACCATTATTAAGGAAAGAATTAGTAGGCACATAGATGAACAAAACCTATTGAGGCAGACTCAGCACGGTTTCTGTAAGGGAAGATCTTGTCTCACTAACCTGTTAGTGTTCTTTGAGGGGGTGAACAAACATGTGGACAAGGGGGATCCAATAGATATTATTTACCTTGACTTCCAGAAAGCTTTTGATAAAGTTCCTCATCAAAGGCTCCTAAGTAAGCTCAAAAATCATGGGATAGAAGGACAAGTCCTTTTATGGATCAAAAACTGGCTAGTTCATAGAAAACAGAGAGTGAGTGTAGGTGGGCAATTTTCTCAGTGGAGGGTGGTAAGCAGTGGGGTACCGCAGGGATCAGTACTTGGTCCACTGCTTTTTAACTTGTTCATTAATGATTTGGAGATGGGAGTAAGCAGTGAAGTGGCTAAATTTGCGGATGATACAAAGTTGTTCAGGGTGGTGAAAACCAGTGAGGATTGTGAGGCACTCCAAGGGGATCTGTCAAGGATGGGCGAGTGGGCGTCAACATGGCAAATGGGGTTCAATGTGGCCAAGTGCAAGGTGATGCACATTGGAGCCAAAAATCCTAAATATAAATACACATTGATGGGGTCTGAACTGGCAGAGACTGAGCAAGAGAGAGATCTTGGAGTTGTAGTGGATAACTCACTGAAAATGTCGAGACAGTGTGTGACTGCAATAAAGAAGGCCAATGCTATGCTGGGGATTATTAGGAAGGGTATTGAAAACAGATCAGCCAATATAATAATGCCCCTATATAAATCAATGGTGAGACCTCATTTGGAATACTGTGTGCAGTTCTGGGCACCACACCTTAAAAAGGATATTATAGCTTTGGAAAAAGTGCAGAAAAGGGCAACTCGAATGATAAAAGGGTTGGAACACTTTCCCTATGAGGAAAGGTTAAAGCGCTTAGGGCTCTTTAGCTTGGAGAAAAGACGACTGAGGGGTGACATGATTGAGGTTTATAAGATTATGCATGGGAAAGAGCAGGTAAAGAAAGAGGTACTTTTCTCCCTTTCTCACAATACAAGAACTCGTGGGCACTCCATGAAACTGCAGAGCGGTCGGGTTAGAACGGATAAAAGGAAGTACTTCTTCACCCAAAGAGTGATTAACACATGGAATTCACTGCCACAGGAAGTGGTGGGTGCTACAAGCATGGACGGCTTCAAAAGGGAATTAGATAAGCATATGGAGCAGAGGTCCATCAGTGGCTATTAGCCACAAGGTATAGCTAGGGGCTCTGGGGCAAGTGATGCTCTGTCTTCTTGGTGCTTGGGGGGGGGGGTCAACAGTGGGAGGGCTTCTAATGTCCTGGCCCCACTGCTGGACCTCCTGATGGCACTGGTATTTCTGGCCACTGTGTGACACAGAGTGTTGGACTGGATGGGCCTTTGGCCTGATCCAACATTGGCGTCTCTTATGTTCTTATGTTCTCCTGCCACACCATGAAACCTAGCATGCATCGGAGTAGGTTTGCCGGGAAGGCTCTGTGACCATTGCTGCCATTGCCTAACCAGCTGTCATGGTTTGTCTTTCTCCCCCCCATTCATTCCCTCAATGCAGGATATCCCGAGAGTAAGTATGTGGCTCATTTTGGGCTTCTTTCATTTACTTTGCAATGAATCCTTTGGTTGTGCGATTTAAAGGGAGTGCTCAGCGATCAAAAGGCCAAGGGCGCGAGGAGACGGCTTCTTGCCGTCTGCTGCTGGAGGAAGCTCTTCTGCTCTGGGCTGCACTCTGGAAGGAGAACAAAATGTGGGCCGGCTCTATGACCATTTGAGGGAGGGGCTTCACTCCCTCCTCCTGCCTGTGCTGTTCTCCGTAGTAGGACGACACAGTACGGACTGTGAGGGTCGGTGGGCTGCGGTGGTGTGAGGCCGCTTCACGTGTCTCTGTGGGCTCCCCCATTGGTGGGAGGCAGAAGGGCAGGAGGGGACAGGCGGCTCTCTCTGGGGAGGGAGCTCTATGGTGCCATGGCCGAGAAGGCCCTGTTGTGGGTTCCCATCTGTCCCGTGCCGGAAGTCGGCGGCAACTCCAGCAGGACCTCCGGAGATGGCCTCAGCGGTTGGGTTCATAGGGGAGCAGGCCTCCTGGAGGCACGCTGGCCCCAAACGGCGTAGAGCTCTAAAGGTCAGCACCAGCTGGGCCTCAAAACAAACCGGAGATGCACGAAGACCAGAGTGACGCGGTCCCAGTGACACCCAGCATCCTGGCCACAGCACTTTGCAGCAGCTGAAGTTTCCAAGCACTTTTCAAGGGCTTCCCCTTTTAGTGCACCTTGCAGTAATCGAACGTGGATGTTACCAAAGGATGCGCCACCGCGGCCAGCTCTCTTCTGGCCAGGAAAGGCCGCAGCCAGCTAAGCAGTCGAAGCTGGTCAAAGGCACTCCCGGTCAGAGCCACCGCCTGCTTCTTCGGCAGTAGGCCTGGGCCCAAGAGCAACCCCCTCTAGAACCAGAGACACGTTGAATCCCAGGCCGGCCCTCCCACTCACCAGTTGCACTCCCACCTGGTTGGAATGAGGTTTCAGCTTCTTCGCCTGCAGGTTTCCTCAGATGGCCCCCCTTTACTGCCAGCAGAACTGATATCAAGTAGATCTCATCTGCTCTGCCTAGAGTTGGCTCATCCTAGAAAATTCCCCAGAGCCTAACAAATCTAAACCCTTCCTCCCAGCACCACTTTCTCATCCACGCACATCTCTGCCTGCCTTGCTGGTCCTGCGCATGGAACAAGTAGAAATACTAAGGAGGCTACCTTTGAGGCCCTGGACTTTAATCTTCTGCCTGGTAACCTAAATTTTTCCTCCACAATCACATAGCCACATTTCCCAGTGTCACTGGTGCCAACATGCATCATAACCTCTGGTTCCTCCCCCACATTAGCTACCAGTCTGTCCAGACAGCACAAGACGTTCTCAGCTTTTGGGCACCAGGCAGGCAAGTCTCTATGCAGTCAAAATACTTCTTACGGACTCTGCTGTCTCTGTTCCTGCCCAAAGTTTTGATTGTTGTTTTTGTGTTCCTGTATGTCGTTTTACTCTGGTTTTAATGATGTGCTTTGGGATTGTCTTAATGGTTTTGTTACGTATGCTCTTAATCTGCTAGCTGCCTTGTGGCCCATTGGAAGGTGGAAAGATGGGATATAAATTTTGTTAAACAAACAAATCCCCAATGGCTGAGTCTTCCCATAGCAAAAGTCTGCCTCCTCCCAACCCCAGAGGGGTTTCTTCCGTATGAGAGGACATGGCTTTGTCATTCGAGGAAGGGGTGCATTGCAAGGCATCCTCCCCCCCCCTTCACCCTGATGCCTTCCCACTTGAACACCTCCCATCACCATGGCAACGTAGCTTGTGGGATCCGAGAACTAACGGGGTCCCTTTTCTCTTTTTTTGCCCCTGTTGCAGGATGAAGGACAGCAGTCGCAAGAACAACGTCTTTGCCCAGTTCCGGAAGAACGAGCGGGACAAGCAGAAGCTGATTGAGGGCGTGGCCAAGCAGTTGCGCAGCCTCATCAACAGCCACCACTCTTGAGGGGGGGCGGGGTCACCTGGGCAGGGGTCTGTAAGCGCTTGGGGGGGGCCTGGGCTCAGCAGCAGCCACTGGACACAAGGGAGGGATGTGGGGGGGCCTCCCCCTTGCCGAGCCTTCCGTGTGGCCGCCAATGTCTTGCGAATGCCCCCTGCTATGTGTGGGAAGCGAGTGGTGGTGCTGGGGGAGGGGGCGCCTTTGGAGGCACCCGTCATGTCTGCAATAATCTCCTCCCTTCGTCAGGAGTTCGGAGCCTGCGTGTGAAGCCCGCTCCCACTGTCGGAGCCCCGGGGTTTTGTCTGTGGGGGTGGGGGTGGGGGTGGGTGGGGGTCTCCCAGATGAGTTTTGGCACTCCAAGGTCCCAGGGGCATCGCCGTAAAAAAGCATTTTTACCTACCTGTAATGTGGATTTGAATGTTAGGCGTGTAGTTACGGGGGGTGGGGGAGCGATGATGTGGCTGCGTGGGACGTCGTGAAGCTCTCCGTACCGAGGCTTCTTGGTGTGAGCGTGGGCCTTCTCAGGGCCTCTGTCCTGTGCCCTTGTGGTGGGTTTTATAGAGCACTGCCCATTGGAGCCTTTAGAAGGTCACTTTCCGACCCCAGAAGAGCTGCCAACAGAAACTTCTCCGTGCCAAAGGGTGGCCCATAGCCCACCTAGAAGAGCAGAGACCCACTTCAGCCACGGCTCCATGTGTGTTGGGGTTTTTGTTCCTGTGCTGGTTCAGGTTGATAGCAAGAAGGGGGCCCGCTGAGATCCCTGCGGGATAATCCAAGAACACCCGGTGGCTCTACACAGAGCCCCTTGCTAAGGACATACATGCACACAGCCCACCTCCTTCTTGACCGGCCTGGAGAGCATTTGGCCTCCTGGAGGCTTCTGGGGTTTTGTGAGAAGGTCTCCCTGTCACTGGTCCTTGTGTGGGAACGTCCAGGGCCACCGCACCCCCCCCCCTTTTACCCTGGTCATTACAGGAGAGGCCTTTGATGCTGGAGATCACAAAGGCAGCTTTTCACATTTTTGCAGTGCCACAGGCCGAATTCCCTGATTGGCGCATTGCTTTCACCCCGTGCTCAGTGCATTTGGGTTCTGTCAAAGAGCTGGCATGTCTTTCTCAGCCTTCCACAGGGTCCGTGGGTGCATTTCCACCACAGCGCTCTGGGAGCACAGCTTGTGTGTCCGTCTGGACCACTGGCGCACCCTGGCCGTGCTTCTGTTGTGGTCCTGGCTTCTTTTGACAGGCAAGCTGTGCGTGGTGTCAGCAGGTCTTTTCCTCTTCAGCAGCCCGTTTGCCTGACAAGGATTTGCTGGCGCTGCCTCCGTGGCCGTATTTGCAAGCTCTACGTTTTGGGGAGACCCTTCCTTTCCTCGCTGTACTCGGGGACGCAGAGGCCTTTGTTCCATATCTGCGGGAAGCACGGTGTGCCAGGATCTCCCTTTCCGAATGAGCACGGGAAGCAGAGTTTCCAAGTGAGGAGGGAGAGCAGAGCCAGAAAGAGACGCCCGCTCTGGCTTCTTCGCCGGGCTCCGGTCTGTTTCTCTGCTCTTGGGAGAGGTCCCGGCTGCTCGTGCTGCTTGGCTGGCAGTTGACGTTTGACCAGAGATCCCACCAAGAGGCGTCTGTGCTCTCCTTCTGGTCCCACACCTCTCGCTGAGGCCTATGCCACCCGGGGGGGGGAGCCGATGTATTGCCAGGCAGCAAGGAGCCACGCTGTGTGCTTCCCAAGAGGTTTGAGGTCACCCGGGAAGGTACCAGCCTGCTGGCAGGGGAGCCCAGCTGAGGGGGTGGGGTGGAACAGCGGGGCCTGCCCACAGCCAGGGCCTCCAGGGACCCAACGCCACTTCCCTTGTTGTGCCGAGAAAGTAGCTTCTTGTCGGTCAAGGAGGGGGACCGGGGCTTGGAAAGGGTGCGTGGCAGGCTGCCGGGGAGGTCTCTTGCCCGCCTCCTTTTCTGTGCCCCCCCTCCTTTGCACGGCTCCTTGGCGGTCCCGTTTCTCACAGGGCAGCGATTCTAATTGTCCCTGTGCTAAGTCGGAAGAACAAGCAAGGATGTGCTGGACGGGACCTTTAGGAACGGCCAAGCAAGGGAGGCAGCTGACTTATGTTTTATGGGCCGTTCCCCCCCAGCCCGTTCTTTGTGGGTGGTTGCTGCGCAAGAGTTCTGCAGCATTCCCGTGACGCTGCCGTTCACTTGGGCAGGCCAGTCTTGGCAGAAAGGACCCGTCAGTCCCTTTTTCCAATGCCCTGCGTCATCAGGGGCCTCAGTATGTTGGGGCCCTTCCTGCAAGGCCTGCTGGACTGGAGTGAGCGTTCCTGGAGATCTGGTGATCCAGATTCTTGACTGGGCCAGCTTCAGACTTTGTCAGCGCATCGGGAGTTCACCGGCGTGGGTGCCACAGCGATGACACGCAGGGGTCCTCCAGACTCAGTCCACGGATCGCTTAAGCATGGCTGCCATCTGCACGTTCCTTCGCAAGGTGCCCGATGTGCGCCGCAATGACAGGTGGCGATGGGCCAAGAGGGCACCGCCAGTAGCTGCCAGAAATTCTCAACTGAAGACTGGCCAGTGAATTCTTCGCCCAGGTGCCATTTGTTTGCCTTCACAGTTTAGTTCATTCAGGTGTGTGTGTTGTGGTGGGCCCCCCGTGGGGTGAGCCAGGGCCCTGTTCCTGCAGTGCTGGGTATCCTCGACGTCCCAAGATAGACGCCCCAAAGTTGGTCCTGTGACGGTACCAAAGGCGGAAGGAGCCGGTGGCTTCAGCAGACGAAGCTGGGGGTCATCTGGGACAAAGCTGGGTTCAGACCCCGAACCCTAACGCCCCTTTTCCCTCCATGCCCCCGCACACCAGCAAGTAGGGAACACACACGCACACACACACACACAGAACCACCTGGCAAGAGGGTCTGTTTCTCCCCTCAAGTAGTGAATCTCATTCCATCTCATTCTCCCAACTCCTTGCCTGCCGCCTTTGGATAGATGGATGCTCCAGCTTTCCCGTATCGTCAGGCAGGCACTGGGGGGCTGAGAAACCCAGGGAAGTCTTTCGGGGCAAGACGAGCGACATGTTCAAGAGAAACATTGAGGGTCTTTGCAAAACCCGTTCCGAGGGAGCGGCGGCGGCAGGCACGGGTGCCGCGTGTGCAGAGCCAGAGCTGCCAGACAGTTTTCACTGCTCCAAGCCCCAGTTCCCTGCAGCCCCAAGAAGGGTGCCCCATCGCCCCCTTTGACATTGCAAAGAATTTGGGCTACAGCTCTCACATAGCATGTGCTGCATCAGCTGGTGCCTGTCGACAACCCCTCGGGGTTTGCTTCTGCCCTGTGTCCCACCTGGGAGCAACCTCCGATAGTGGACCAGACTTGGCAGCGACACAGAGAGGTGTTGCCATCTCTGCTGATGACGAGCAATATGGGGCTTTACCTGAGGTGGCGCACGGCCCATCCAGTCCCACTTTTAATCACGTGCGTCAGCTGGCAGTTTAGCTGCCTTTCCCGCCGGGGATCTCTCTGCCTCCACATTGAAGCAAAGAGAGTCGCACCCACTACCGGCTGGACTGTTGTGATGTCAGCCCGGCTAGACACCGTTATTAGGCCGGGAAGGGAGCGCCAAAGAGCTACCGAGTCTGCCCCAGAACATATTCTCGGTTTCCAAAGTAGCTGTTTCAAGGTGCAGCCTGTGGTTTTGTAGCAAGCCGTGTTCTGTGGAGTCATCTTATTGAGGCAGTTCTTGCCTAAAAGTCTTCAGCCAACCACAAATGTTCCATGGCCTCCAAATCCAACTGGGCCCTCTGTCGAGTGTCTTGAGACCACCCTCCATTTAAAGAGGAGCCCAGTAGAATTGCCAAACCTGAGCAGGGCCAATTTCCGCTAGGAGCGTCTTTGGCCCTGATCCTGCGATCGTGGCCTGGCTGGCACGTGTAAATACTCTAGCGCCAAGGAGCCACCGCCTTCGGCCTGTCAGAGGTTCATTCTTGCAGCGTCCGGTTTCAGGAGAGCCGGGGCTCCAAACCGCGAGTCGCGCAACGGGGACGAAGAATGGAACTGCGGCACTCTGTTCCCAATTAACGTCATGTTCCAAGCCGTGCCGTCCCATGCCTTCAAAAGAAAATTAATCATTCCAACAGATTGCTTTTCTGGGGAAATAAAATGTATGCCACACGCACACAACACGGAAGGGTTTTTTTTTTTCTAAATGCCTCTCAGCTCTCCCGAGGGACTTGTGTCTTCTGCTGTGGATGGTTTGATGCAGGCAGTGGGAGGGGGCGTTGTTGTGATGTGAGGGACCCCCCCTGGAGTAAACTTTCCGTGCTTCCTTGGAGCCACTTGGGTGGCAGAACTCCCTTGTCCCTTTTACAGTGACCCCGTGCTCTCTTGCGGTGAGGTTTCCAAGAGGCAGCACCAGAGGATGCTGGCAAAATCCCCCACCCCACCCCACCCTCCTTGGGGAGGGGCTGCTCTCTACTGGGCCAGAGGCTCTGGCTGTGCTCATCTGCGGGGGGGGGGGGGGGGTTCTCCTGGCAGCATCCCTGATGTAGCCCTTTCGCTGGAGATGGGGAAGCAGAAGTCCTTTGCTGTTTTGCACTTGAGTTAGCTCTGACCCCCACTGTCGGTTCTCATGAGGGAAAACGGTCCATTGTCTTGTGTGTCTTTTATTTTTTAGATGTTTTTAATGTGTTTTTTTTAAAAGCAAAACTATTCGTTTGTGAATTTCTGTTCTCAGGAACTATTTCTGTTCCTGCCTTTCAAACGTGCGCTCTCTGGCTAGCTGCAAGAGTGCCTGCAGGTAGATTTGGAAGCCGGTGCTTCCGGACAGCAGCCGGGCAGAAGACGTGGCCAAGATGCCGGCGTCCTTCTCTGAGCCCGGTCTGTTTGAGGAGGCCACGCGGGAGGATGTCCGTTGCCACCTCTCGCGGCTTCATCCACGGACCGGTCTGTAACTCGCGCTCTCAAGACGTGCCCTGTGACACCCAGTTCTTGTCACACTGGAGGTCGTGGCAATTCGAAGCG